CATTCCTTGCTTCTTTTATTTTATTTCTTTTTATACTACATTATATTATGTTTGCTTTTATTTTAGTTTACCTTATTTTATTTAAAATATTTTTTTTGCCTTATTTAATTTTATTAATTTTATTTATTTTAATTTTTTAATTCCTTTTTCATATATTTTTATTTTAAATTATTCATTATAATAATCTATTTTAATTTATGTTATTTTATTAAAAATATTTTAATTTATTTTATCTTGCTTAATGTTATTTACTTTTATTGGATTTATTATTTTGATTTATTTGTTTTAATTTTTTAATTCCTTTCTTATATTTTAAATAATTTTCTTTTATTTTTTTTTACTTTATATACTTTTGTTATTTAATTTTTTATTTATATTTTATTTTATTTAATTTTATTTTAGTTTACTTTTTACTTTAATTGACTTTTTAATGTACATTATTTACTTCAAAATATTTAATTTAATTGTTTTTTTCTTTTTATTTATATTTATTATACCTTATTTTGTTTTAATTTATTATAATTTTCCTCTGTATTTATAATTATATATTTTTTTTTCATTTTATATATTTTAGTTTTTGCTTCTGTTATTTTATTTAAGTTTGTATTTTATTGAATTATCCTGTTTTATTTTATGTTAATTCATAATTTTATTAATATTTTTTGAATTTGTTTTCGTTTCTTTTTATTTTATTTTACTTTATTTTTTTTGCTGTTATTAAATTAATTATACAAAAAAATTAAATAAAATAATGTAATATAAAATTAAATTAAAAAATTTAAAAAAAATAAAATTATATTTAATTATCTTAATTTTATTTTTTTTTTATTTTTTTTATTTTCTTATTCAATTTTATATTATTTCATATTTTTTAGTTTTTTTGTGTTTCATGTCGTTTCATATTTTTAATTTTGTTTTATTTCATTGGTTTTTTTATACATAATTTATTTTCGTTTTGTTTCATATTTATTTATTTTATTCATTTTAGATATTTTTTTATTTTATTTATTTATTTACTGTTATATATATATATATATTATATTTGGTATTTTTCTATTTTGTGTTTTTTGTAGAAATAAACATTAAATGTATTTGATTTATTAGTGTTCAGAAGCTTATTATTTTTTGAAAAGTGTTTTATAAAGATTTAAAATTGTTATTTAAATATAAATGTGTTCAATATTAAAATTAATTAATTTTTAATATTTATTATGTTTCAGATTTGGTAGTAAAAAATAACTAGTATTTTAGTTAATTAAATTTCTTGTTTTTCAATATAAATTGTTGATTTTGTTTTGTGTGTTTTAAGTGATTTTTTTTTATTAATTTCTTTTTTTTTAGTTTTTATTGGAGATTGTCATACATTTCCAGCATTACATGATTCATTTTCGACTTGGTGAACATCGTTACTAATTTTTAATTTCATAATTTTTATAAATTTTTTTATTAACTAATTCACTTTTTGAAATTTTTATTTATTAATTTTTGTTTTCATATAAACTTCTACACATTCACTGCTACTAACATACATAACACACACCATTATATTTGTTTGTTAAGATTTTCAGTGTTTTCTATTGCATTTATTTGAATTCTAAAAATTTGCTTTCCTTTTAAATTTTATTTAAATATTGATTATCTTAAAAAGGTTTTTCTTTTTACCTTTTGTTAATAATTTCTTAACAATAAAAAGTTTAATTTTAAGCTTATATTTGTTTATAACTTTTTTATGTATTCTGTATGTTCTTCTCTCAGTTGTTTTGTTTATTTTATTTTATTAGTTCTAAACTACTATGTAATACTCGTTAATTCGATTTAAAGCTATTGGCCCTTCGGCTTAAAATCTCCGATATGAATTTTTGAATTTTAATTTTTTATATATATAATTTCTTTGTTTGTTTGTTTGTTTATAAATCGAAAATGCCTAAAACAAAATCGGTGATTTATTTAACTATTGTTCGAAACCATTATTTTTCACTTTTATTTACTTTGTGGCTACTATTTTAGTTTTGAAAAAGGTAATAATTTTTTGTTACAACTTTTATTGAGGAAATCATATGTGTTTCAAAGAAGAAGAATAAAAAATCATTTGAAGAAAGTTTCGGAGCGTCGCGTAGTTATCTAAAAAATGTATTTTGTTTTATTAATTATTTATTTAAAATTTTAAAATTTTGCTTGAAAATGCTTATAAAACCGGTAAAGCGCACGATTTTGTGATAGAAGAGATAATAATTCGTTATATCGAATTTTTTTTTAATTAAGAAATAGTTAAGATGTAAAAATAGAATAAATTTGAAAAATAAAATTTAGAACTTATTTAAATTTATATTGGAAATATTAGCTATATTATGGCTATGGCTTTGCCTTCAAATTCCAACCGAAGCCTCCGCAATAAGTTGACCACGTCCAAAACTTTCTTCACTTCTGTTGATTTTCTCGCTTTCATTTATTTATTATTTATGGTTTTTTATTAAAATTTACGGAATGTGTTTGGAATTATTTTAATTTCCTGTTCATTTTTTCTTGTGTTTGCTGTGTGTGTGTATTACTTGCTTATGTGTTTCAAAATTTGTTGTATTTTTTTCCTTGACAAATTCAATATTTTTATTTTCAAAAACACTGTTTTAGTCTACGCCATAAATAGTTTTTGTTTAAAAACAACATATCACTACTACATGCACACATGCATACATTACATACACTGCTACTATTCTATATAATTTGTTAAACAATTTTACGCTTAAATATTAATTTTAAATCGCTTATTGATTTATTTGAAAATTGCTAGCTACACAATTTTTTTTTAGAAGAAAATATATTTTTTTCATTTTTTGATATTTTTGAAAAAATTAGAAAAATAGAGCTTCAAAGCTTTTGCGTGGAGTGCGAAAAAATATATAATTTTTGCTTCCCTCTACAAAGATTTTGTAATAAAACTTATATAAAAGAAAATATGTATAAATAAATGAAAATAAACCAAGCTTTTGAAATCATCAATTCAATGTTAATTTATCAAAAATTTTAACGGGGTTTATTTGCAAAAATTTGTATCTCCTTTTCCAAAAGAAGATTTCAGAATCAAATCAACAAATTAAATGAAAATGAAATATGAAGTTTGAACATTTCTTTTAACTTTTTAGAATTATTTTTTTTTTGGAACTTTTTTCTGCATATTTTTTTTAATATTTAAAAAAAATTTGTATTTTGTTTTTTTTTTTTTTAATATTTAAGCAGTTAGGAAAAAATTTATTCGAATACCTAACCAAAATTTTTACCGACACTATAATTTTTCGTTCTAGAGTTTTTTTTACTTGAAAGTAATAATTTTTTTACATTGCAACAAAAATTGGTAATATTTTTGAAGATTTTTTGAAACTTTTTAAACTTACAAAAAGTAATATTCTTCTTTAGAATGGATTTGAATTTTTTAGCTTATTTTAAATTGAAGTTTTTATTTAAATATTTTATTGACTTCTAAGACAATTGAGGAATTAGAAGAAAATGAAGCGAATATTTTTAAAGCAAGAATTACACGAACACACATACAATATGTCTGTGAGTTTTTCACAGTACATAATTGAATTTTCAAGTGATACTAAAAAGGGTTTCCGCGCTGACTTAAGCGCTTTCGAATATAAGTCTCACAAGCCTAAGTGTAGAGAGCAAAAGGTCTTTGCTGAGTAGAGTTTTAAATTACCAAGGATTTCCAAGCGAAATCCTACAGAATTTTATTTGAAAATTTTTAATCGTTAAAAAGCTCTAGTTATATAAAATAAAAGTTTTTCTAGTCCATATGTAAAATCTCACCAATTTGTTTCGCCCTCAAATATTTTTCATATTTTCCCACAACTATTTTATGTCATGCCTTCTTAGAAAGTTAAATTCCCAAAATCTCGAATATTAGTGTTGAATAGTGCTGAGCACATTCGGTATCTTTTTTCATCCGAATTAAAAGAAATAATTCTTTTTTTGTGCGAAAAAAAATTATTTAGAAATGAAAACGAACATTTGTGTTGTAGAAATAAGGAAAAAAAAAAATTAAACACGAAAAATTAAAAAGACTAAATTTCATGCCATGCGTGAATAGCTAAGAAAATGTCCTTAGTTTTAATATCTACGAGTATAAAAAAAAATATTAAAAAGAAGAAATTTAAAAAATTAAACACAAATAAATAATTTGTAAAAGTTTGCCGGCTTGAGGTCTTTGAGGCCGACAAACTTTTTCAATTTTAAAATAAAAATAATTAAATAAAATATATTTAAAAACATTTTAAATAAAAACGAAAAACAATAGTAAACAAATATGTTTGTTAGCATTTACCAAAAAGATATTTTTATTAATTATTATAAATCGTAAAAATTTAGAAACTACATATATACACGTAAATGATAGTGATGAAAGTGATGATTAGTCACATAAATTTAATACAAAATTTTCACAGTGCTTGCACATACAAGTTTATAATTTCATTTTTTATGTAGAAAATACTTTGTACTTTAAAAAAAAATTAATTATAATAATATAGAAAATGAAAAAAAAAAATTTCGTACAAAAAATTAAACAAATAATTTTTTTTTCATTAACTTTTTAACTAACTAGTACTCCATATTAGTTTTACTTTTTTAGATGTTTTTAGCAAATTTTCAAAATTAATTTTACTGTGCCACATAAAAACTCTTCACACAAAATCTATATTATACATACATATATTTATAAATCTGTTTGTAATTTTTTTATATACATTTTTTTTCTAAACCCTACAACACACAATACAAACACACATCGTAATGCTACTTGCGAATTTTTTGTAAAGTATCTCAGTTTTCATTAAATTTACACAATTTATTTTCACTAATTTTGGCCGCTAAATAATTTTGCAGTTGTTTTTTTTTCATAGATTTTCTGCGCTGTGAAATTATTTTCAATTTTAATTTTTTTCTTTAAGTTCGTAATTAATTTAATTTTAAATTTCTTTTTAATTTTAAATTTAGTTGATGTTATGCTTTTAGTTTTATTTTTCAATTTAAATTAATTTTTACATTTTTTGCAGTTTTTTTGCTATAAATTCCCTCATTTGAAATGTTATAAGACATTAATTACAATTACAAATCTACAATTTTTTAACATTTAATTTTTAATGCTATTACAGTTACACATAAACTTACATTATTTAGCTTAATTTGTTTATAACTTATACACTTCTGTAAATATAATTATGTAAATATAGATATAGAATTAGGAAAAAAATATAGGAAAACTTAAGATAAGTGTGTGGCAACGCTCCAGTGTTGCCACCTGGTTGGTGTAGAGAACCGCTTGCAGCAGTTTGTAGGTGCCTGTATGCCGGAGTGTTTTGTGTAGGTGCACAGAGATTACTCGATACACTTTTTTGGTGATTTCCTATTCGGTTTATTTTCTTAATTTATTATTTTTCCCAATTTTTTTTTTTGTTTGTTTTAAAGCTTTTGGTATCTGATAATTTTTTTTCCTCCTGCTGTCTGCACGTCAATACCGTTAAATTGCACTGCTTCACTTTACTGCTAGAATTTGCATCGCAATTTTAACTTCGCTCACTCTTCTCGCTCCAACTCGCTCTCTTGTTTCTTACTATTATTAACAGTGTTGCCACATTACAGCAAGAGCTCCTGTTCACTGCTACTGCCATGATGATGGTGGTGGTGATGATGATGGTGATGATGATGATGGTGGTGGTGGTGGTGGTGATGATGATGATTCGGCTCTCCATTGACTGTGCGTAGCGCATTAGTGGTTGAGCGTTGACAGCATTCATCAATTTGTGGCAACTCATTTTCACAATCTTCTTGCTCTTCTTGTTGTAATTGCTGCTGCTGTTGTTGTTGCTGCTGCTGTTGTTGCTGCGGTACAACAACACTACAATCCGGCTGTTGCGTACGTCGCAAAGTGCCAGACATATAGTCGAGAGTTTTCTCGATGGCGCGCAGCCGTTTTTCCAGCGAAGTCGTGGCGAGTATGTCAACCTAAGTGGAGGGAGAGAGAGATAGAGAAAAAGAGCGTGAACATCATATGAATATTCATAATTTTTAAGCTAAGCTTTTATGAAAAATTTAAGCTTCCGTGGAAATTACTATTTTTAAAGCTTTCACAAAAGCTTTCTTCGTCTTCTTCTATAACTTGTTTGTTTTCCTGATTTGTTATAAGCCTCAAAAGAGCTGCCAAATTAATATTGACTAATTTGTTTGAAACTAGCATTTTCTGTCGAATTGATTTATTTTCTCATTTGCAAATAAGAAATATAAAGTTTTCACTTTCAGAAGAAATTTCAATTGTTTTTGCTTATTTATTAAACTTAGAGTTTCAAAGAGTCTCAAAAAAAAAAGCTTTCATTTTGTAATAAAAACCGAGCTCATATCAAATAAGATGGAAACGCTTCCTAGACGTATGTATGTAGGTATATACCACTCACCTTCAGCTGCTGATTGAGTGGCAATAACGCGATGATCCACCACGCCCACGCTGGCCCATCAGCAATAGTCTCCCAATTCTCCTCCACTGCCGGCATTTCGCCCAGACTTTGTAAAATCTCCTGCTTCAAGTCGGTGCTAAGGCTCTCAAACCAATCGATGGCCTTGGCCAAAACCACCGTATGCATATGGTTCACCGTTTTCACTAGCTCATCGGGTATGGTCTCATCGTAGATGTACTCCACCTTCGCCGTCTCGTAACCATCCTTTTCGTTGCGCGCCAAAATCTTGAAGCGCTTACAACCCACCGTACTCAGGATCGAACAGCCGTCGCCGAGTAACACACAGTCACGTATGTCTAGCATTGTGCCGACATCGAAATAACGTGATTTACCGTTATTCGGTTGTACAATACCAAATTGCTTCTCACCGGATTCCACAGCGCGTCGTACCATAAGCCGATAGCGCGGCTCGTAAACGAAGAGTGGGCATGGCACACAGGGGAAAGCCGTCGTACAAATGAAAACCGGCACGGAGGGTTCCAGGTCGATCTCTTGTTGGAAACGTTTCTCGTAATTGTCTGGAATGAATCGTTTCATTGCGGCTTCTAGGAATTTAGTCACAGGCCGCTTGGCCACAATGAAGGGAATGGGCGAGGATGAGCCCTGATACATGGTATTGACATTTGGTTCCACAAGTGGCGACATGCACAATGGACACGAGGAGGTGTAATCCATGCAACGATCCAAGCATACCCGGCAGTAGGTGTGACCGCACGGTGTCACCACCGGCTTCCAGAAGGTGCGCCAACACAGCACACAATCAAAGTCGCTAGCGTCCACAAGACCGGCAGGCACTTGCAGTTGTTGTCTCTTTGAAGCGCCATTAGCCAACTCGAGCTCTGCATGGTGGAGAGAAAAAGAGAATTAGTTTCGAGTTCAGCTGATAAAGATATTTGGTTTGTAGCTCTCGCAGTTACTCACTTTTCAATCCCTGCACTTCCTGCTGCACCCGATCCAATGTGTTGCGAAAAATTGCGCTATACTGCACCTCTTCCAACGACGGACTCAGCGCGGGCACCAGCTCGGTCTCTCTGGGCGTCCATTTCCGTCGGAAATGCTTACGGGATGTCTGTCGACGCAACTCGATATCAAAATGCTTCTCCATACCAGCATAGATGGAGAAGCGCTTATCGATGAGCGTGTCACCGATACCTGAGATATATTCAGCGGATATGTTACCGCCTACGCTGTTCAATACATCATCATCACCAATACTGGCAACTCCAACGCCACCGATGGTGCCATCCATGTTTGCCAAATAATCGCTTTCCGCGATAATATCACATTTACTGCTCTCGTAGGGTATAAACTCTTCATCGAGTGCGCTCAGATGATCCCCATTCGCATTGCTCAGCAGGGCTAATTGTTTGCGCCGGCGCAAATGTTGCTCCGCTGCGAGCAGCTTATAAGGAACTACAGACACCGAAGTGGCTGAGCTGAAGGTACGCTGTAGTAGCGATTTGCTTTTTGGAGTTTGGGCGAGAAGTTTCTGCAAATTCTGGAAAGAAAGAAATAAAGAGATGTAAACCACTGAAATAAATACCAGATCTAAATAATTCAGATTCCTTGGGTACCCGGCTACAAAAAAAGATGACTAAACCGGATTTTATGAGATACCTTGTTTTTTTGGTCTAAACTATAATGTCTACCTTATTCCTATTGAGTATTTTCTAACCCACCACTTACCTTTGCGAGATCATGTTGAAATAATTCCGAACTAGTGAGTAATGTATCCTTATCGAGACTAATGGCCAAACAATTGTCGAAGAGTGCTTCTTCGCAGCGACCGAGCTCGCACAGAGCCAGGGCTCGCATATAGTGGGCCTGTAATTAGGAATGTGAGAGGGTTATACTTGAAATGAGAATACTTGTTTCCAAATATGCTTTACCTTCGCTGAATTGTAGCGCGTCTTCAGCGCATTATCCACATCGGCCAATGAGCTTTGAAAATGATTGAGCTTGCGTAAAACCTCGGCGCGCAGTAATAAGCTCTTGAAGTTGAAGGGCGCTAAAAATATATACAAAAAAGAAAGAAAATATTAGTAGGAGATGCCTTTTTATGATGAATGAAAGTAAAATAATAGTTATATTTATTGTTTTGTAGGCTTAAAATACTCTCTTTACATAAAAATAAAATGAAAATAAATTCAAAATATTTAAAAAAATAAAATAAAACAAAAGTTAATGAAATAAAATAAAATAAAATAAAATAAAATAAAATAAAATTGGATAAATTAAAAAATGAAGTTAAATTAAAAATAAATGATAATAAAATAAGAAAAATAAAGTACAGGATATAAAGTTGATGAAATAACATAGAAAAATTTAAAAATAAATATATAAAAATAAATAATTAGTAAAAAAAATTAAGTGGAACGAAATAACATTTTAAAATAAAATAGGCATGAAATAAAAACAAGAAAATATTTAAAACAATTAAGAAAAATTTATTAATTGATAGAAAAAAATATTTAAATGACATTAAAAAATTTGATTAAATTAAAAAAATTAAAATAAAATATGTGAAATACAACAGTACAAATTAAATAAAAAATAAAATGAGAAAATCAAATCAACGGAAATAAATTTGATGAAATAAATTTAAAAAAAATAAATAGAAAAAATTAAATATAAATAATAATAATGGGTATAAGAATTAAATAAAATGAAAAAACTGAGAATTAAAAAATATTTAAATAGCATAAAATAATATAAAAAATAAAAATAAAAATTAAAATATTTTAAAGAAAAAAAAAAAATTAAATTAATTAATTATATTAAATTGAATAATTAAAAAATGGGCTTTCCTTTTCCACATAGTTTCGAAAATATTCCTAACAAATAAAATACTCTCTTGCCCACAGAACTTGTCACTTTAAATAAGAAAATGTCAAGAAAAATCTCTAATTAGTGCCAATTGAAATGAAGATGAAGGAAAACTTAGAAAGCGCACTCATTATGTGCTATTAAAGAGGCTGAACTAGCCAACTATGACGTATGTATGTGCAATATATGGTGGCGGTTAGTGCACAAACACACCCCCCCCGCACAGTAGCTAAAGAAAAGCTGTTGAATATTTTGAAAATTTACGCTGTCAATATTTGAAGAACTGACAAACGTAACACACAGACGAACAAGACGATTTGCCGTGGAGGTGGCATCGACGGCAATTAGCCACGTACACCGCTGCTTGACGCATTGCCAAAACACCTAAGTTTTGTTGTTTTTGCACTTTGAGTGGCAACCATGAAATGTCTTGGAAAATTGTACAAACAAAATAATGATTTTACCGCAACGCAGCATGGCCACTTAAGTCCCTTACGAAATATTGACAGTTTACATTTTGCGTTCATTATGTTTTGGCAGAAAAAAAACAATGATTGTTGTTAATGTAAACAATTAAGACGTTTAAGAAAATATGCATACATATATGTATGTGCATATTTCTTAGTTCACAATATCTAATATGTAAGCGTTTGCAGCCACACGCCGTTTAGCGTCACTTAGTACGGCGCGCTCTTACGGGTTCATGGTAATGCACAGCGTGGCGAACCAATATTGCATGCCATAACATGAGTGCGCAACAAACGCGCGTCGTCTATTACAAAAGTGGACATTTGCAAAGGTAATTTTCGAGAATTCATCAATTTGCTTGCATTTTGCTTTAAATAAGTTGTTGACATTTTGTATAGAGCCGCCCGTCTGCTGCTCTGCTAAAGGAGTGCGAATTTGCAAATTGCCGGCTATAGGTAATCCGCATAACGCGCTTGCTATTTTTGTTGCGCCTATTTGCCGGTTATTCTCTAGCGCCACCCATCACCGTCGCATAATATTTGCCAATAGCGCGCGCGTATAAAGCGCCTGCCGCCTGCCGCCTACCACCCACCAGTCTTTCTTTGTCTTCCCAATTGCTATTACGCTTGAGTCCATTCTGTCGCGGACGCCTTGTTGCTCGACGTGTGGTGTGTGATTACATCGTTGCAAATAAAGTATGCAACAGCAAGACAGACGCGCTGCTATATTGCACAAGCGATTGCCACACAAGCGTCTTATGGCATTCATTGCCTGCAGCATTGTTAGCGCTTGGAGACGCGTTGGTAGACGAACGCGCGCGCTTTATTTCTCCCGTTTGCAGTGGGCGCGCATGTCGTCATACTCAACTTATAAATATACTTTATGCCTTAGCGCTGCCGGTTGGCACACATACATATTAAATATTTGTTGCATTTTGATTGCCTTTAAGTGTTGCGGATTTTTATTTTTATTTTTCTGTTGTGCTTTGTTTTCTTCTAATTTAGTCATCCCTGTTGTAGAGCTATAGTGTACCCGGCGCTCAACTGGCTTCATGACGATTCTGTTGTTATTTAAGAAATATTTCATTTTTTTGTATATTTTCGTTTGGAGGCGTCGCCACCGCCGATCGGGAATGCAAGGGAGTGATGAATAATTGCCTTGTGCATATGTGATGCACTTTTATGATGCAAATGCGGATATTTTATGCAAATCGAGTGCAATTCGTTTACGTAATTAAATTGTCAATGAGAAAAGGTAGAAAAAAGTGCAAAAACACAAATGAAATTTGCAATGCGAAAATAATTTGTTGATTTTAACTACATAATCTACAGTTTGACTCCATCAACAACAATAACAAAGTGAGCAATATACCGGGTTACATATTTTCGAAGAAGCTTAAGGCATTTCGAAGGTAAAGTTGATTTGAATATCTGCTTTAATTGGCGTAAAGAAATGGCGTTAGTTGCGTCGAAGTGACAAGAGCGGAATGATATTAACATTATTTAATTCTCTTTATATTGCATTATCATTAAGAAACTTTAATTGTTAAAAAACAATTTGAGCTGAGCCAAATTTAGTGCAACATCGTGTGATGTACAACATTATGTGCTAAGCTACATTTTGGGTTTAGCAACTTTTATAGAGATATATTTTTGGCTTAGCAACTTTTTAGGTTTAGCAACACTTTTATAGGGAAATATTTTTGGCTTAGCAACATTTTATGTTTAGCAACACTTTTATAGGGAAATATTTTTGGCTTAGCAACATTTTATGTTTAGCAACACATTTATAGAGAAATATTTTTGGCTTAGCAACATTTTTAGTTAACCAAAATTTATGCTGGGCAACATTTCATTGTTTTAATTTGGAAAGTTTTTTGTTTCAAAAACAATTATTGCTAAGCATCATTTTTGGTTCAGAAACATTTTGAATTAGCAACATATGGTGCTGAGTATCATTTTTGTCTTAGCAACAATTTGAACTGAACAATTTGATTAGACAAATTTTTCTCTAAAACTATATGTTTGTATATTTACATACATAGCCTAGATTCTCTCCTAAAAAAAACTAAAACCTCTTTAGAAGCAATTTAATCTGATTGACTCTTAAATCTCAAATTAATTATTCAGCCAAAAAAAAAAAGAAAGAATTTTAAAATCAAATTTTTTAATATGCCAAAAAATTCTTTTCAAATTATATTGTGAATTGGGTGTTACATGACCACGAAAATGTTAAAGTAATTACTAATAAGTTGTTCGCCGTCAAATAATTATTATTTTTTATTATTTGGCGAAATTATTTGAAGTTAACAAGAAATTGATAAAATCCAGATTTTAAATAAACAACCCCATTATTCAACTATACACACAAGTATTTCTTAATAAAATCAACATCCCCCAATATTCATGACGCAGCAAAAAACACGCGTGTTAAAAGTCACGTACGCCAGAGTATTTATTTATAGAACTCTTAAATGCTATTTCCAAAATAATTTTTAATAAAATTTAATATGCCTCCAGTAATTAATACATATTTGAAATATAATTTTCATACACGCTTTTTCAATTTATTAAAATACTTATGCAATCTGCAAGTAAATTTTTTATCAGGGTTATATTTATACTCTTCTAAATTTACGAGCACTCCAGAATACACTCTTACGATGTCAAATAAAATGTTAATAAAAGAATTAACAGAGTGATTAATGCAACAGCAGGAACAATAGCAGAGCAACAGCAGAAAGAAATTTGGACTGTTATAATAACAGTATGTATGTGCACTTGTATGCAGGTGAGAAAAATACACAAACACAAAAAAGAGCATTACTTATACATTAACATTACGCAACTTTATTTTGTTTTTGCTCTCACTGCTATTGTTACGTTTGCGAGTCTCTCAAGTTTGCATTTGCTGGTATTGTCTTTGCTTCTGTTGATACCCACTGTTACCAAGAGCTGTTATTGTGAGCTGTTTTTGGTCTGTTATTTGCTTAACATTAGTGTATATAAGAATACACGCGTTATGATATTATACATGTGTATTGTGCAACTATTGTGCTTATTGTGTATTTGTTTTTAATTTGCCAGAGAAAATAAATGGCCAGCAGCAGCAGCAGCAGCTGCGGCAACCGTAGCAGTGGCGCATGTTCCAGTAGCCAATACTCATGAATATGCATAAAATGCAAATGTAAGGTATGCTTTACGATTGAGTGCTTTTACAGCAACAGTTCTAAATGTAAATGGTCACGTACTTTTTTACACACATATTTGCACGTACACGTATGTATGCATATTTTGGTAGGGGAGCAACGCGAAAAAATTTTGGAAGGTTATGCGGTAGAAATTTGAAACAAGAAAATTGCAAACCAGCGGACTTCAATTATTCAAAAAAGTAATGAAATGCAAGATGAGACAAATATGTGAAATGTATCTACTTTTTCTCTGCTGTTCTTATCGAAAAAATGTTGAATAAGAACTGATTGAAAAATGCTGGAAAATTAAAACATTTCTATGCAAAAAAAAAAAAACAAAAAAAAAAACATAAATTTATAAGAAATAAAAATACAAAGTAATAAAATAAAATATATTAAAATAAAACAAATTAAGTTACATAAAACAAAACAAAATTGAATAAAAAGATAAAAGCAGATTATTAAAATATAATATAAGCTAAAAGCTATAAAACATGAAAGGAAATAATAATATAAACATAAAC